AAGAAGACTGATAATTACAATTACGAAAAATAGTATACATATTTTTTTCTTTCTTCTCTTAACTGATTTTATTAAACAAGTGTATAAAACACTATATATGTTATTGTATTGTTGGGGCTATAATAGAGGGAAATGCAATATACTTGACAACAGCCACATAAACGAGATGGGTGGAAGCAGCATTGTACTGGAGTGAGGAAATGATTCTAGATGATAACTTGAACACATGGGAGCAAATAAAGGTAACTAGAGATGATAAATAAGAAAGTACCGGCCGGGCGTGGTGGCTCAAGCCTGTAACCCCAGCACTTTGGGAGGCCGAGGCGGGTGGATCATGAGGTCGAGAGATCGAGACCAACCTGGTCAACATGGTGAAACCCCGTCTCTACTAAAAATACAAAAAATTAGCTGGGCATGGTGGCGCGTGACTATAATCCCAGCTACTCAGGAGGCTGAGGCAGGAGAATTGCCTGAACCCAGGAAGCGGAGGTTGCGGTGAGCCGAGATCGCGCCATTGCACTCCAGCCTGGGTAACAAGAGCGAAACTCCGTCTCAAAAAAAAAAAAAAAGAAAGTACCTAAAATAAATGCTACATATATACTTACTGTTCTTTGTTATCTCACTTTAATAGACAAAAATTACATTAAGTAATAATTATAATGATGTATTGTTAGGTTTGTGGCATCTATAGATGTAATATGTATGACAATGAAAGCACAGAAAGGAAGAATTGTTAATAGAGCTCTGTAGCATAGCTCTATCTATGTAGCATAGCTCTTCTATGTAGGAGCAGCATTTCTGTTTCTTGATGGAATTAAGTTAGTATGAATCTGAAATAAATTTTGATGAATTTAATGTATATGGTAAGCCCTAGAGCAACCACTGAGAAAAAACAAACTATGAGAGAAGCTATAAAAAACCATTACAGGAATTAAAATATTACACTAGAGATACTGAAAATGCAAAATAAAGCAGTAAAGTAGGAATAGAGGGACAAAATAGACATGAGACATACAGAAAAGTATTAGATGGCAATATAAATCTAACTGCATCAATAATAACATTAGATTTTATATTAGAGTTCTCCAGAAAAAAGAACCACTGGCATATATATACATACATATAAAATTATATGTGTGTATACATATATATAACATTATATGGTTTTATAAGTTATATATATATATACATATAAAATAAGGATTTGGCTCAAGTCAATATAAAGGCTGGCAAGTAAAAAATTTGTAGTGTGAGCCAGCAGCCTTGAGACTCAGGAGAGCCCATGATACAATTCTAGTCTGAAGATCAGCAGACAGAGACCCAAGGAAGCCGATAGTGCTGATGACAGCGTCTGAAGTCAATCTCCTGGAGAATTCCCTTTTGCTCAGCAAGGGCAGTCTTTTTATTCATTCAGGCTGTCAATTCATGAATGAAGTACCCATAGAATAGTCAATCTGCTTTATTCAGTGTTCACTGATTTAAATGCTAATTTCATATTAAAACACCCTCCAGGTTGACACATAAAATTAACCATCACAGATGTGAGTGTATTAAACAATGCAGTCAAAAGCTGAGAGGGTCTCAGATGAGACTGAAAAACAAGATGCAATTATATGATCTCTACAGAAGATATACTTCAAATACAAATATATGTTAGTTGAATGTAAAAAGATGGAAGAAGATATATCACACAAACCGTAATCACATGAAAGTTGTAATGGCTAAACTAATATCAGACAAAATAGATTTTAAAACAAAATACATTACTAGAGATAAAAAGGGCATATAATATAATGATGAAAGGATCAATTTATTAGAAATTTATAAATATTATAAACATATGTGCACCTAACAGCAGAATCCCAAAATACATGACTAACATGACTGAGGGGCAAAACAGACAATTCAACAGTAATAATCAATCTTAAATATTCCACTTAAATATTGGATAGAATAATGAGGCCTAAGATTAACAAGGAAAGACAAGACTTGAACAACACTATGCACAAAGCAGACCTAATAGACATCAATAGAACACTCTACCCAACAACAACAAAATAAACATTCTTCTCAAGTGCACGTGGAACATTCACCAGAATAGACTGTGTTAGGGCTATATGACAAACTTTAATAAATTTTAAAGAATTGAAATCATACAATATATGTCCTCTGATCATAATAGAATAAAATGAAAAATTAGTAACAGAGATTTGGGAAATTCACAAATGTGAACATTTAACAGCACACTACTAAATAACCAATACGTCTAAGATAAAAACAGAGGAAAATAAGAAAATATTTTGAGATGGATGAAAACGGCAATACAACATACCAAAACTTAAGGAATGCCATGAAAGCAGTGCTTACGGAGAAGTTTAAATGCCTACACTAAAAAAGAAAAAAGATCCCACATCAACAACCAAACATTCTACCTCAAGACAATGGAGAAAGAAGAGCAAACTAAGCTCAAAGCAAGTAGGAGGAGGAAATCATAAAGATTAGAGAGGGACTTAATTAAATAAAGAACAAAAAAAAGAGAAAAAGAACCCAAAAGTTGGTTTATCAAAAAGATTAATTAAATTGACAAACTGTTAGCTAGAGTGACTAAGAATAAAGAGAGAAGACTCAAATGTCTAAAATCAGAAGTAGAAGTGAGGATGATACTGCTTGATCATACAGAAATGAAAAGAATATAAAGGAACTGCCATGAATAACTGTATACCAACAAATCAGACAACTTAGATGAAATTGACAAATTCTTAGAAAAAACACAAACTACCAAAACTGACTTGAAAAGGAATAGAATATCTAAATAGACCTATAACAAGTACTGATATTAAAGTAGTTACCAAAAAACCTCCCAGGAAGAAAGCCTAGTACTAAATGGCTACACTGGAGTGAATTCTATCCTAATTGCCTTTTCTTATAAGGACATCAGTCATAGTGGATTAGGATCTACTGTAATAATCAAATTTTACCTTAATTACTTTTTTTGTAAAGGTTCTATCTTCAACTAAAGTCACATTCTGAGGCCTCGGGGCTTAGCACATGAACATGTATGTGCATTTTTGGGGAACATAATTCAGCTCATAATACATTATAAATATTATTTTAATATGTTTGAATTTGGAACACTTATAAAAGAAAAAATTTTCCATTTCCTTAGTATTAACATAAATCATTTTAAAATATGCCACTCCAAAATGTACAAACATAGAAAGGTATAAGGTTTTTATGTATATAGTTCATGTACAATTATACATCCAAGTAGATTTCCAAGTGAATACAAGATTCTAAACCAATAAAGTTCATGTTAATAATGACATAATAAATTACATTTTTTATTATTTTATATATATATATATATATATATATATATATATACACACATATATATTATATTATGCTTTAGGTTCTGGGGTACATGTGCAGAGCATGCAGAATTGTTGCATAGGTACATACATGGCAATGTGGTTTGCTGCCTCCATCCCTGTCACCTATATCTGGCATTTCTCCCTATGTTATCCCTTCCCAACTCCCTACCCCCCGCTGTCCCTCCCCTAGTCTCCCCCTACAGGCTCCAGTGTGTGATGTTCCCCTCCCTGTGTCCATGTGTTCTCACTGTTCAACACCCACCTATGAGAACATGCAGTGTTTGATTTTCTGTTCTTGTGTCAGTTTGCTGAGAATGATGGTTTACAGATTTAACCATGTCCCTACAAAGGACAGGAATGCATGGTTTTTTAATGACTGCATAGTATTCCATGGTGCATATGTGCCACATTTTCCTTGTCCAGTCCATCATCGATGGGATGGAGTTTGGGTTGGTTCCAGATCTTTGCTATTGTAAACACTGCTGCAATGAACATACATGTGCATGTGTCTTTATAATAGAATGATTTATAATCCTTTAGGTATATATCCAGTAATGGGATGGCTGGGGCAAATGGAATTTCTATTTCTAGTTCCTTGAGGAATTGCCACACTGTCTTCCACAATGGTTGAACTAATTTACACTCCCACCAACAGTGTAAAAGTGTTCCTATTTCTCCACATCCGCTCCAGCATCTGTTGTCTCCAGATTTTTTAATGATCGCCATCCTAACTGACATGAGATGGTATCTCAATGTAGTTTTGATTTGCATTTCTCTTCATGACCAGTGATGAGCATTTTTTCATAGTTTATTGGCCTCATATATGTCTTCTTTTGAAAAGTGTCTGTTCATATCCTTTGCCTACTTTCGAATGGGTTTATTTGCTTTTTTCTTGTAAATCTGATTTAGTTCTTTGTAGATTCTGGATTTTTGTTTGTTTATAAACATTTGGAACTTTTATTTAAAAAAAAAATCACAACCATGAACATTGTCACAGTTAGAGGCCCTCTTGGTTCTCCACAATGATACTGAGCATGCTCACAAGGGGTTCCCATTGTTAAGTCTTAAACAACCATTTTTAAAAGAAGGAAAAAAAAAACTCCACACTACCATTTAACTTGTTTTAATGTTTCTTCACAAATGGTGAAAAATACTAAAGTACAGACAGGGAATAATCATAATGTTGTGGCCAACATTATAAATATGGAATTATAAATTGAAAACATTTTCTGGTTTAAAAAATAAATCTGGTAGTCAATGCAGCTCTGCGGGGTCTCTGCATCTAATAGGGCCGATCTCTGCGTTCCTGACAGTGCTCGCCTTTATCCATTTTTCCAGGTCCTCCACGTCCTCCTCTTCTTCCTCCCATCTGTTCCATCAAAGGTCCAGGGGCCCCCCCAGGGCCACCTCATCTTCCGCCACCAAAACCACCTTGGTCCATGCCCCGGCCACCACAGAAGCCACCTCTGTCTCCACCACGGCCACCTCTGAACATTCCACCAGGACCACCATGATCCATGAGGCCACCTCTTCCTCCCCGCATGCCACCAGGGCCACCTCTGCCACGATCACCACCCGGGGGTGGTAAGGGTGGCAGGAGGAAGCCTTTGGGCTTTGGGGCCTTACACTGGTTGCACTCTGTTCTCCAGGCGAAGTTCTGGTTTCCACAACCCGGATTGGGACATTGCCAGTCTCCAGCTCGGTGCTGGACGTTTTCTCCTCTGGAGGGGTTCCCTCGGGAACCCCAGGGTCCTCTGGGAGGGAAGCCTCCTCTATCTCCTCCACGGCCTCCCATGCGACCCATGGGTCCCCCAGGACCTCCTGAGCCTCCTGGCCCTCCACGGAGTGGTGGTGGCATCCCTCTGCCCTCACAGGGTGGCATACCACCCCACATTGGAGGCTTCTTCCAAGCAAGAGAGACTTTAAGTTTGCTCCCTTGAAAGTCTTTACTGTCAAACCACTTCATGGCAGCCTTGGCAGTAGGTGGGTCTTCATAGGATACTGTGGCATCGCCTTTGGGCTTTCCTGTTTCCTTGTCCAGGTAGATGTGGATCATGGGTTGCCCAGTTCTCTTGTTCATCTCAACAACCCCACACTGCTTAAAGAAGTCTGCCAGATCATCTAGAGTCACATTATCATTTAATCCTTGTACATAAATTGCACTGTTGTCAGAATCTTTATCTGGATCTACAGGTGGGCCGAGATCAAGATCTGGTCCTTCGTCCATGGGTCCACCAGGCTTATTGAAGCCACCTCACTCTCCAGCGCCCATTCCACCACGTCCTCCTCCCCGCCCACCTCTGCTCATGCCTCCACGATCAAATCCCCCTCTTTCCCTGCCCCGGTTATCAGGGCCACTCATGCTCCGGTTCTCTCCTGGTCTGGAAAATCCTCCAGACTCCTGCTCATAAACACCCATGCTACTGGGGTGGTCCTGTCGGAATGAACTCTGCTGCCCATAGCTGCTGCTCTGTTGGCTATATTGACTTGGAGCCTGGCTGTAGGATCCAGTTTGGGGTGGGTAACTAGTGGGAGGCTGCTGCCCATAGCTGCTTTGTTGACCATAGCTACTCTGCTGTCCATAGCTGCTTGGTTGCCCATAGGTGTTCTGCTGAGAGTGACTGCTTTGATCATAACTAGTCGGCTGTGTAGAGGAACAGGAGGGTAGGATGGTAGGAGGGTAGGATGGAGGTGCGGTGACTGGCTGCATGGGGTAGCTCCCAGGTACCTGGGGATAACTGTAGTTACTCTGTCCACATCCTACGCTGGGCTGGTTGTAACCTCCTGTGCTAGATTGAGGTTGACTAGTCTCAGTGGGCTTGTTACCATCCTGCGGTCTTGTAGGTGCAGTGGCTGCTGGCTGTTGCCCATAGGCTGGCTAAGCAGGCTGAGTACCATATGCAGACTGAGCTGCGTAGGAGGCCTGGGTGGTTGTGACTGTAGCAGTGGTGGTATCATAAGCACCAGTGCCATACCCCTGGACAGGCTGGCTGTATGCCTGGGGTGCAGTTGGAGTAGTATAACCAGTAGGAGGCTGTCCATAAGAAGTTGCATAGGCGGTCTGCCCATAAGTTGCAGTGGTCTGAGCCTGGGTATAGCTAACATCAGTGGGCTGTCCATAGGTTCCATAGCTTTGTTGCCCATATGCCTGGGTGGTCTGTGCACATCCTTGGGTGGGCTGGGCGGTGTAAGCACTGTAGCCCTGCTGCTCTGCAGCTTGGCTATAGGTACTGTAATCTGTGGATGGCATTTTCTCTCCTTCCTCCTCGTTCTCTCAACTTCCGTCTCCGATTCTGGATATTAACCCTTTGTCAGATGGGTAGATCGCAAAAATTTTTTCCCATTCTGTTGGTTGCCGGTTCACTCTAAACGTTGAGAGTTGACTAATACATTTACTGCCAATGAAGTCTGATATATACATAGATGTGATCCATGCACCATCTCTGCTCAGAACATGAGCATAAAGATAAGCCCACACCTCCTTCTTTTTGTTTTGTTTTGTTTTGAGATGGAGTCTGGGCCTCAGACTGGAGTGCAATGGCGCAATCTCAGCTCACTGCAACCTCTACCTACTGTGTTCAAGTGATTCTCCTGCCTCAGCCTCCTGAGTAGCTGGGATTACAGGCACACACCACCACGCTTGGCTAATTTTTGTATTTTTGGTAGAGACAGGGTTTCACCATGTTGGTTAGGCTGCTCTCGAACTCCTGATCTTGTGATTTGCCCCAGCCTCCCAAAGTGTTGGGATAACAGGAGTGAGCCACCACGTCCTGCCCCACACAAGCTTTTTAAATGTTCAACATACATTTAAACATACTTTATTTTTGAGATAGGGTATCATTCTGTTTTATGGACTAGAGAGGGATGACATGATCTTGGCTCACTTCAACCTCCACCTCCTGGGTTCATGGGATTCTTCTGCCTCAGTTTCCTGAGTAGCTGGAATTACAGGCACATGCCATCACACTCAACTAATTTTTGTATTTTTGGTACAGACAAGAGTTCACCATGTTGGCTAATCTGCTCTCAAATTCCTGACCTCAAGTGATCCACCCACCTCAGCCTCCCAAAATGCTGGGATTACAGGCTTGAACCACTGTATCCAGCCTTTAAGCATATATTATTGATCATCACTCAGTTTTTTCACTATTTTTTCCCAGCTACTTGAAAGCTTCATTCAGCATCACTATTACTACAACCTCAAATACAAATGCAGAAAATGAAATTGCCTATCATGACTAGTTACAAGTTCACCCTGAGTTTATTTGTATTAATTTAGTTTGTCATCAAAATAAAATTTAAAATATTGTCGTATTGTCATTGAATTCATGGTTCTGCAGACTACATCCATAGACCCACAGAAGCCACAAACTCCAGTTTGAGAAACTCAAGTCTAGAGAATTTCAGGTCCAGCTGATTAATGAGAAGAGTTACTAATGTGTTGCAAGCCAGACTGCAGGTGGCTGGTACATATTAGGGTACAGGGGTTGGGGAACGGGACAGGCAGGCACCATCTAACCAGCAGACTAATGACAACAATGGGCTTATTCCTTTTATGTCTGCATCACTGACAGATCCCCTCCATATCCCCTGGTCCCTACTGTTTCCAATGTGGATAAGCTCATTTCCAACCACCACTACCTGCATTTGTGCCTACCTCAGGGTTCTCTCCAAAATGCAGAAGATTGCTCTGCCTGTGGCAGGACAGAAGTGATATTCCTTTGAGCAGCCCTTAACTTATGGCTCCCAGGAGTTAGTAATAAATACCCCCAAAGCACTTTATAATAAAGTGCTTTTGTTTTTTATGTCTCATGTGACCCATACAACAATTCTGGAAGGAAGGGAGTTACATTAAACAAGATCAAGAGTGGATTGTAATCCCTGTATTCTCCTTTGTTCTCTCCTCTATTTCAAGAAACTGCCCAGAAAATTATAGATGCTCAATTAATAATTGATAAATAATGGAAGAAACTGATGCTTCTGTGAGTAATTTAATTAAATTGACCCTGATAACACCAGGGCTTGAATGCTGGTCTTTTGACTCCAAGAACAATGCTCTCTACTGTACACTTGGGAGTTTCTGTTCTTAACCCTGTGGTCTCAGGCCATGGTTTACGAAAAAACTTAAAGATGATTGAAATATGCCAATATAATAGGCAGCTTTACACCATGGTAATGTCAATGGTTTCAGAGCCTATGGAATCAAAATGTTTGTGAAAATATTAAAGATATTTATGGCACAAATTGTCAAGTCTGCTTCCTTATGTATTGCAGAACTTTGGTGGTGGTCACATCATTCCCACAGTGGCCATTTGGAGATAGAGTACCCCATAAAATAGAGCCAAATAGTTTCTCTTAGCTCCAGGGTAGCTGAAACATATCCTGGTCCAGCCTTGTTTTTAAGTTTTTAATTTTTTTCTCATCATCTATGGAGTGAACGGTTAAAAGTCAATTTACTTGGAGGAAACTTCCTTCAGCATTCTAACTTGAGCTTCAAAAAAATCAGCTGATACCTTCATTAAGAATTCTAATGAGTGCTTTAATAAATAGTCACTTGTAGATAAAACCATGTTTAGCAATATGAACAAATAATACCCATTGCAGTTAGCTATTAGATTAAATCTAACTCATTCATCAATTTTTACGTAAGTCATATGCTTTTCCCCAAATGAATGGTTATTCTGTGAAGCCATTTTGATGCTGGAACACTGCTTTCCCTAAACTCCTTAAAGTCATCAGGCATATTAAAGGATATCCAATTTCGTTGGTCTAAGCTGAGTGATTGCAATTCATCAAGGCATGAAAAGTCTGTCCAGTTTTGTGGAATATCATTAAATGGTTCAAGGATGTTTCCAATCTTAACAATGGCCAAGGGGGAGCAATTATTATGATGATGAATGGGAATGAATATCTGGAAAAAGTTCAAGGTATGTTATACTTACAAAGACTAATACATGTTGTTTATCTAAATCATCCAACTGATTAAAGAAACACGCAAAGCCCAAGACAGTTAAAAGCAGAGAACCAAACAGGGTTTGACCTACCCTGGTGTATTTATCACTAACTATGTCATGCGTATAAAATGTATTGCTCTACCAAGATGCTGTGTATATAAAATCGGGAGGGTCTTTTGAGGCTGATGTTGAGTAATATAGGCTGTCCAGTTTATTGCCTGGCTAAATATTTACATAAAATGAGTTCATTGATGATGGGGAAGCCTCCATAAAAGGAGTCTTTCAATGTTACTAACTGATTAGCTACAATGCCCAAGGCTTAGCAAGAGCTGGATTGTGGTAGCATTTGGTATTTCCACTCCTAAAGCTAATTCCTGAGCTGCTCCAAGTTTTTAATTCCTGACCTGAGAGAGAGAGAGAGAGAGAGAGAGAGAGAGAGAGAGAGAGAGAGAATGAGCACACATGTGTGTGTGGTCAAATAAGGCAAAACCTTCTTGGTACCAAGAGAAATGTAGAGTCTGCAAGGAAAGGGGAAATGCTTTTTGGTACGCAATTGTAAGAATGTTCTCTAGATCCCATCTTTTGTCTGAGAGAGTATATCTATTAAGTGCACATTTTCTTAGTACAGAGAAGTCAATACTGGGTGAAATGAAGAAGACCTGTTTCACATTATGCAGAGGACTTGTATTTGGTTGACCTTTCCCTGGGCAGGAGAAAGAAAAAATCAACCACACAGGTGGCTAGGAGGATGTTGGGCCATGGTCCAAAGACTTAATCACAGTAAATATCTTTTCAGTAGGTCTGGGTGTGGCGGGTTGTGGGGCTGAAATAGTGCAGTCACTGCTCACAGAATTGTTTACAGATAAAAGGTAGAAATTAGAAGTAAGTAGGAAGCAGAAGGTTTAGAATTATAGACTTTCTTCACTTGGGTTCTTAGACACTTGGTTTCCTCATCCCTCCCTGGTTTCCTCTTCTCAGTATCCTTTGATGGTCTCTGTTCTCTTCCTGACCTCTGAACATTGGTGGTCTCAGGGCTTGGTTCTCAGCCCTCTTTTCTTTATAGATGATCTTATCAAGTCTTACGACTTTATCAAATGTCATGCCTCCAAAATATTCAGCCTGAATTGCATCCAAACTCCAGATTATCTACGTGACATCTCTACCGTGACAACTGTGACATGGTAATTGCCCCATCAACTGCATACCTCGACCATACCTTGGCTTTCCATTAAAACTGCTCTCTGTAACCCTAATGTAACAGGCAAGCAGTCAAACCCACGCCATCTTGGCCCCTGCGACTTGTAATAAGTAACTAAGGTTTGTAACTTCCACCCTACCCAGATAATGTGTAAACTAATGCTTATCTTGACTTCTGTAAACCACTTAAGTAACAATTGGAATGTCCAAAGTCCCTTGGCCCTTGGAATGTCTGAAGCCCCTCACCCTCACCCCTGCCCAGGAGGTGGTTTACAGGCATAAAAGGTCTGGATGCCCTCCTTTCCGACTGGAAATTGGTGGTGTGGTGAGAGGGGGGCGGTCTGTCAGGAGCCTAGGTCAGGAGACCGGACGCAGCTGTTAATCTCTGACTAGGCAAGCCTACCATGAGACGTCACTGGAGGCTCGGGTAATTTAGTTTTCAGTTGTGTTCCGTGACCCCAGTGTGAGTGAGAGAGTGGGTATGTATATGTGTGGTCCCATGGCCAGCGGGCTACAGGACCTGTGTGGGCCTTCACCCCAGGTTCCACAAAGACGTCATAGGGCATAATGGTGATTCACCTCTGTGGTGACCAGGCCCGGGGTTTATACAGGTACACCTTAGCCAAGATGCTCTGAAATATCCCTTCAGGGATGTGACCAGACAGGCATCAGATTGGTCTCCCATGGGGGACACCCACCCTGTGTCTGTCTACCTTTCATGTGGTACTGTCTTTATTGCAGATTCTCTAGTTTTCTGAGGTGCTTATTAACTAATCTGCGGTGGTTTAGGCCTGCCTCAGTAAGGCCAGAAGATGTTCTCAACTGGCTAAATAACCATTGGTTAGAGGGGACTGTCACTGATTGTATGCCCCTAGAAATAACTTTATACTCCTTCCTTTTCCTCTTCCTCTTTCAACACTAGGTCCCTCCTTTTCTCCTTTAAATGTCTGGGAGGCAATTCTGCCCCCTGTGACTCAGTTGTAGCTTTTTCTGGAACCTTAAAAGTCAGATTCTAGGGAAAACAAGCAAGGACTCCTTGTCTGCCTAAAGTGAAAAAAGAGAGACCATTGTGTATTCTGTCAGAAAGTAGTTAAGTATTGTTATAGGTTCTGCTCCTATCCTCACCTAATCT